AGCTGCTCAGACCCAACCAAGTAAACACAGAGACTTATATTGGTTACAAACTGTACGGTCATACCAGGCTTCTTGCTAACTGTTCTTACAGCTTAAATTAATCCATTTCTATAAATCTATACCTTGCCACATGGCTCGTGGCTTACCGGCATCTTCACATGCTGTTTGTCATCGTGGCGGCTGGCAGTGTCTCTCTGATTCAGCCTTCCACTTCCCAGCTTTATTCTCCTCCTTGTCCTGTCTATACTTCCTGCCTGGCCACTGGCCAATCAGTGATTTATTTATTGACCAAATCAGCAACACACTTGACATACAGACCATCCCACAGCAAGATCCTGGTGGAACACCCTGCTTTCCCTCACTCCTGTGAACCCTCTCACCGACCCCAGCCCATCCCTATTCCTAAGTCTTAGGTACCAATACCCAGGAACGTTTTACATGGAACCCTCGGTGCCCACACCTATCAGGACCCCAGAAGATTTTCCTAGCAGCCAACACAGAGACACCACATACTCCTAAAAATCAGAGAGGAAACAGAAACCAAGGAACAAAACACCCACCCAACAAAGACAAGACCAGATAACAGCACCTAGAATTACAATCTTCCCAAACACAGATGCCAAGACACCAGCATAAAAACACAATCAGTAACAGCTAGGACAATGTATCTGTCTCCACTAGAGCCCAGCAACCCTACTTACCTAGCAAGAAAATTAAACCTGAGGGAAATTTGAAACTAAAAATTTAGGAATTCAAACAGGAACTACATAGGCAAGACTCACCAACACAATACAAGAGATGGAAGAGAGAATCTCAGGCATTGAAGATACAATAGAAGAAATGGATACATGAGTCAAAGAAAGTGTTGAATGTAAAAAACTCCTGAAACAAGATATACAGGAAATCTGGGACACTATGAAAATAAATCTAAAAATAATAGGAAAAGAGAAAAGAAAAGAAAGCCAGGTCAAAGGCACAGAAAATATTTTCAACAAAATCATGGAAGAAAACTTCCCTAACCTAAAGATGGTGAGGTGAGGTAGCTGTGGCTTGTTCAGCTTCTCTGATCTTCCAGCATTCACCCCAATAACTGGCCTCAGGTTTGATCTTATTAATAAGAACTTTTAAGATTCATGCTACACTCACTTATATGTGGATATTAGCTGTGAAGTCAATGGTAAATAAGCTACAATCCATACAGCCACAGAGCTTAAGTATAGAGTAAGGGATTAGAAGGAACAAATAGACCTTGCTAGGAAAGAGAAATAGAATAGATAGCTATGGATAGATGGATGGGGGTGGGGGTCTGGAATGGGAGGATCAAGTGAAAAAGGGGAAAGGAGGAGTGGGGGGAAATACAGGGAGAGAGAGTTATAATCATGGAACATCTTGAAAAGGTAGTATGGAAATGGACTACAGAAGAAACTTACTAAAATATATACCTATACAAAGGTGATCTAAATGAAATAATGGGGAAGACAGAGTCCTAACTGGACATCTCTTGTCAGTACAGGGATTGGATTACATCTAATTGAGTTCTTGGCCAAAGGTGCCCCATGGGGATCCTCAAACAATCCAGGCTGTTGCCAAGACAACTGACAAACTGACAGCAAGGCCCATTGCTGAAGACAACACCTACACAACTCATTGAACATGGAGATGTCAAGCTGGTCCCTACATAGAGTCTTAACTCCTATTTTCCAGCATCTGTGGTACAGGAATATACTCTGCATGCTCTCAAAAGAGAAATGTAAACTCCAAGCCAGCCACAACCCCTCTATCTACAATAGTGTACTACCTGCAAGATACGCTAGTGTAATGGTGGCACCCAGCCAATGTCCCATTTGACTTAAGGTCCAATACATGAGATGGAACCCATACCCTACACTGCTTGGGTGACCAAGAACATGAGATTACGTAGCCCAGGGACCTAGGGTCAAACCAAACACTACTGTTCTTAAAAAACAATAAAAGGACTCCTAATGACATTCTGCTATACTCATAGGTCAGTGCCTTGTTCAGGCATCATCAGAGAAACTTCCTCCTGCAGCAGATGGGAACAAATACAGAGACCTACAGCCAGTCGTTATGCAGAGACTGAGTGGCCTTGGAACACTCAGCCCTAAACGGGATGTCTCTATCATATCCCTTCCCTCAGAGTTCAGGGAACCCCAAGGAAGAGGAAGTGGAAAAAGTCAGAGGGGTTGGAGGAAACTAAGAAAACAAGGCCCTCTAAATCAACACAAGCAAAGCTCATAGGAACTCACAGGGACTGAAGCAGCATGTGCAGGGCCTGCACAGGTCTGCACCAGGTCCTCTGTGTGTATATTATGGCTTCCAGTTTAGTGTTTTCATGGGACTGTTGAGTGTGTGAATGAGTGGGTGTCTGATCCTTGTGCCTTTTCATGGGCTCTGTTCCTTCTGTTGGTTTCTTTTGTCCAACTTCAATGTGAGAGCTTTTGCTTCATCTTATTATATTTTATTTTGTCTTATTTAAAAAATGAATGAAAATTTAGCCCCTAGGGTAAAAGTTAACAACCAAACTGTCATTTATACCTTCTGGGAGAGGAAAAATTAATTTTCCCAAATGGAGTAACCTGGGTATAGCAACCACTCCAGGGCAGGCCTCATGTTCATATTCAGGAGAAGTTGATTAACACTGCACATTGTGTGTGTGTGTGTGTGTGTGTATACTTACATTTGGTTACAGTTAGGTGTCTGCTTTTTTTTCTTTTTGAATGTTGTTTTATTTTGTTTTCTTGGTTTGGAGGTTTTGTTTGTTTCCTGAGAAAGACCTTAAAGTTGGGTGGTTAGGGAGGCAGAGAGGATCTGGAAGGACTTGGGAATATGATCAAAATATTTTTTTGGGGGGTTTTTCAAGACAGGGTTTCTCTTTGTAACAGCCCTAGCTGTCCTGGAACTCACTCTGTAGCCCAGGCTGGCCTTGTACTCAGAGAGATCTGTCTGCCTCTGCCTCCCAAATGCTGGGAGGCTACCTAGTAAAGAGGACCCTAAGAAAGACATAGGGATCACCCAACGACAGAGAAATGGATGAGATCTACATGAGCAAACTGGGGGGAGGGGAATGGAGAGCAAGGGTCGGGGGAAAGAGAGCTTAGGGGAGCAGGAAGTCCCAGCTGGATCAGGAACAGAGTGGGAAAACAAGGAAAGAGATACCATGATAAATGAAGACCCCATGGGAACAGGAAGAAGCAGAGTGCTGGAGAGGTCCCCAGAAATCCACAAAGATACCTCCACAATAGACTACTGGCAATGGTCGAAAGAGTGCCTGAGCTGACCTACTCTGGTGATCGGATGGCCGAACACCCTAACTGTCATGATAGAACTCTCATCCAGTGATTGGTGGAAGCAGATGCAGAGATCCACAGCTGAGCCCCAGGTGGAGCTCCAGGAGTCCAATCAGCGAGAGAGAGGAGGGATTATATGAGCAAGAGATGTTGAGACCATGATTGGAAAAAGCACAGAGACAACTAGCCAAACTAGTGGAAACACATGAACTGTGGACCAATAGCTGAGGAGCCTCCATGGAACTGGACCAGTCCCTCTGGATAAGTGAGACAGTTGATGAGCTTGAAATGTTTAGGGGGGCCCCCAGGCAGTGGGACTGGGACTGGCCCTTGGTGCATGAGCTGGCTTTTTGGAACCTAGGGCCTATGCTGAGACACTTTGCTCAGCCTGGGTGCAGGGAGGAGGGGACTGGACCTGCCTCAACTGAATCTACCAGGCTGGGCTGACTCCCCATGGGAGACCTTGCCTTGGAGGAGGTGGGAATGGGGGGTGGATTGGAGGGGAAGGTAGGAGGGGGGTGGGAGGACAGGGGAATCCGTGGCTGATATGTGAAATTAAATTAATTATAAAACAAAAATATTTATAAAAAAAAGATGTGTGCCACCACCACCCAGCCATCAAAATAAATTTAAACTTATAAATTGTTTTAAATAGTAAAAATGCAAGTTAATATTTGGTGGCTCTGGTTCCTGATCTACTTCCTAAATGATGTTAGGGTTATCTCTTCTGAAAAGGAATATTAGAGCAGCAATAAAGGCCCATTAAAAGAAAAGTTCTGGTCAAGAGAACAGAATCTCAGGCTTGAGTAGACTTACATTCCAGCTGAGCATGTCAATCATCTGGCCAAGGGACCAGGACAAAGGGACCACAGCTAGGAAGGCAATCATACTAAGTCACTCTAAAGACATACAGTGGGCTGGGCATATTGAACATGTTGGTCCACACAGTCAATATCAGCACTTGAAAGGCAGCTGGGCCTTGTGAGTTCAAGGCCAGCCTGGTCTACCCAGTGAGTTTAGATTTCTGTGAAGAATTTTGTGGGAATTTTGATGGAGATTCCATTGAATCTGTAGATTGCTTTTGTTTGGATGGTAGTTTTCACTCTATTAATCCTATCAGTTATGTGTAGTTATTGTTTTTTTCCCTTCTCTTTTTACTCTTTGGGGGCCTGCCACCCAGCTCCCAAATAAATCACATGGAGTCTTATTCTTCCTTAGGAATGCCTGGCCTTAGCTTAGCTTATTTCTAGCCAGTTTTTCTTAAATTATGCTGTCTATCTTTTGTCTCTGGGCTTTTACTTTTCTCTACTTCTGTATACCTTTCCCTCTCACTCCATGGCTGGCTGTAAAACTGGGTGGCTGGTCCCTCGCATCCTCTTCTCCTTTTCTCGTTCCTTGATCTTTTTCTCCCAGATTTCTCCTCCTATACATTCTCTCTGCCTGCCAGCCCCACCTATCCCTTCTCCTGCCTCGCTATTGGCCATTCAGCTCTTTATTAGACCATTAGGTATTTTAGACAGGCACAGTAACAGCTTCACTGAGTTAAACAAGTGCAACATAAAAGAATGCAACACATTTTTGCATTGTTAAACAAATGTTCCACAGCATAAACAAATGTAACACATCTTTAATTAACATTCCACAACATAACTTAAGATTAGTAAGAATTAAGCCAGGTGTGATGGCACATACCTAGAATCTCAGTCACTCAAGAAACTCAGGCCAGACCTCCATTTCAAAACAAAACAAAACAAAACAAAACAGAAGAGAATTAGTAAGAATTAGCATAAACACTAATTCATCTTTACCACATAATCCATCTTTAGTCTTCAACTTACAGGGTAACTGATGTTTTAGGTCAAATGCAACTGTGTATTCAATGTGTAACAAACCCTGACAGCTACGCAGGTACTAGGAGTCTACATAAGAAATGAAAATGTCACTTTCATTCCAAAAGAATTTTTATTTTCCAGACTTTAGGTTTTAGGGACTTAGCAGACATTAAATTCAATATAATTGAGTGGGGGGAAATCTATCAACCTGAGACGTTTCCCAAATCCCAAATGTGTCTAATATGACATATATTTATGTATTTATTTATGTATTTATTTATTTGAGATAGGATCTCACTATGTAGCCCTGGCTGACCTGGAGTTCACTATGTAGTTCTGAAGCAGCTGGCCTGATAGAAAGATGGAATGACCCTTTGAAGACACAGTTACAGTGCCAATTAAGTAGCAGCAGCCTGGAGGGCGGGGCTGGGGCAGGCTTCTCAATATGGCAGTATATGCTTTGAATCACCATCCAATACATGATACATTTTCTCCCATAGCCAGGATCTAGTAACCAAGGGGTGGAAAAGGGAACAGTTCCACTCGCGATCACCCATAGTGACCCACTATGAATATTTTTGTTCCCTGTTCCCATGACCTTAAGTTCTGCTGGCCTAGAAGTTTTGGTTCCAGAGAGGGGCGCACTCTTACCAGGAGCCACCAGAAATATTCCATTGAACTGGATGCTCAGACTTCCTCTTGGCCACTTCGGGCTTCTGATGCCCTTAAGCCAACCTGCTAAGAAAGGACTACCTCTTCACAATGGAGGTAAGAAGGATTATGTCTGGAGTAAGCAGATCTTTTAGGGAGTCTCTTGGTGCTACCATGCCCTGTGATTAAAGTCAATGGGAAACTACAACAGCCTAATCCAGGCAGGATGACAAAGAATACAGACCCCTCAGGAAAGAAGGTATAGGTCACTCCAGGAAAAGAGCCAAGAGCTGCTGAGGTACTTGCCAAGGGTGGAGGAAATACAGAATGGGTAGTAGAGGAAGGTAGTTATAAATATCAGCTAAGGCCACATGATCAGTTGCAGAAACAAGGATTATAACTGACACAAGTGTTTCTGTCATATTTTGTTAAGAATATATATGTGAAGTTATTTGTGTTTTCGTTTCTTTATTATATAATATAACACAAGAGAATATCAGTGGTTCATAATCATATTTAAGCTTTGAGATACTAAAAGAATGTCCCTCAAGGGACATTCTAAAATATAAAATGTGTTTGCAGTTGTACATGGGACAGTTATATCAAATCAGGCATAATTATAACCTAGTTATTATTTTCACTTAGAAAATAAGCATAACATAAGTAGATATAATTGTGTGTCAAGCTGACAAGGGGTGAATTTGTGATGGCTATTCTTGGTTGTCAACTTTACTATATTTGGAATAAACTAAAGCCTAAGCTGCTGGGTATAACTGTAAGGAGTTTTTCTTGATTGGATCATTTGAGGTTGGAAGACCCATCTTAAATCTGGGCCACATCTTCGGGTGGTAGCCTACAGAAAGGACATAGAAGAAATAAGCTTTTGCTCTTTGCTTGCTTGCCCTCATTCTCACTGGCAAGTTCAATTCTCCACTTGTATTAGAGCCTACTTCTTTAGGATGCTGACATATACTGAAGATTGTAACAGGGTCCCTGTAGCTGGAGTTTTCCTGTGTCTACACAGCTCCTGCAGCCGCTCAGAACCAAGTAAACACATAGAGACTTATAGTACTTATAAACTGTATGGCTGTGACAGGCTTCTTGCTATCTAGTTCTCATATCTTAAATTAACCCATTTCTATAAATCTATACCTTGCCATGAGGCTCATGGCTTACCGGTATATTTATATCTTACTTCTCATGGCGGCGGTGGCTGGCAGCATCTCCTAACTCAGCCTTCCACTTCCCAGATTTCTCCTCTCTGCTTATCCCGCTTATACTTACACTTCATGCCTGGCTACTGGCCAATCAGCCTTTTACTTATCAATCAATCAAAGTAACACATTCACAGCATACAGAAAGACAACCCCAGCACTTCCCCTTTTCTTTTTTTTTCAAAAAGGAAGGTTTTAACTTTAACATAGTAAAATTACATATAACAAAACAATTATCAAGCAAGAATTATAGTTATAATATCTAGTCTATTTGTATTTGGCAAAATTAAAGAAGATATCCTATCTATCCTATATTTGTGAGTCTAAGGTTTTATATCTAACTTATCTTTTATCATAACTAAGGAAATTATAACTATCTAGTCTTCAACTACATCAAAGACCTCAGAAGGATATAATATTACCTGAGAAATAGGAGAAGGACACAAGCAACTTTCTGGAGTCTTGCAAGAGTAGACAGAGACAGCTGGCAGCCTAGACAGTCATCCAAAGTTCCTCTGTAAAGTTGGGGCATCTGTGTTCAGCCCACAGGCCTAGAGTCTCTCAGTCACTTTTCTCTGTGTCTTGTAGAATGTCTGGCAGTTTCCTCTGTGAAGCAGGAACCTGAAGGACCATTTCGCCAAGCAAAGTTCAGTGGTTACCTTCCTATGGGTCCTGCATATCCAGTTGACACATCCTTTGGGAAAGCAGTCCAGGCAAGAACAGTTTCTTTCCCAAATGGCTATCTTTGCCAAGAAGAAGATTAACTCCATATAGAGTATCTTCGATGCCCATCCTCCTCTCTGAAGTAAATTGGTACTGCCAGGAGCAGACATGTCTCACTGTCCAGAAAGTCTAAATTTTTAAAACATTTTAAATGTCGTATTCTGTAGGTCTTTGAAGTGTTTGAAAACTACCTACTTAATTGAATTATATCTATGTATACCTAGAAAACCTAACATGACTATAAGTTTGACTATCACAGAAGACTAATTATTAATCTGTATTTTTAATTATCCATTACAATCTAAATGAGTTACATAAACATAATACCTCAAACCAGAGTGTGTGTGTATATATATATATATACATATATATACACATATATATGTATATATATATATATATACAGTATAACAAAATTAAGTTTAAACTTGTATCAATAAACTAAAATCCATAGCAATGTAAAACATTTCTAAACAAGTTGTTCTATAAAAGTAGGCTCATTAATCTACCCTTTCATCCTATCATATCTATATGTAGCTGGAGTTTTCCTGTGTCCACCCAGCTCCTGCAGCCGCTCAGATCCAAGTAAACATGCAGAGACTTATATTACTTGTAAACAGTATGGCCATGGCAGGCTTCTTGCTATCTAGTTCTTATATCTTAAATTAACCCATTTCTATAAATCTCTACCTTGCCACACGGCTCGTGGCTTCACGGTATCTTTACTGGCCCCAGACCTTAGTAAGCCTCCAGACCTTGGCAAAACTGACTCCATGATGGAAGTGCCATTCACGCTGTAAAAGTAAGTAAATGGACAGCACTAGCTGCCAAAACTAAAACAAAGGCCTAATCCATCAAAACCCACAGTTCTGGGAGAAATCTCTAAATGTACTAACCTTGCTTTTTAGCTCCTGTAATTTCACTTCTGACTAAAACTATTCTTGTTATCTAAAGTATGTCAACCCAGAACATGGTTTTTGTGCTTAAAAGCTCACCCTGAGAAAGGCTCAGTGCTACACTGGGATCCCAAACATAAAGTTTTGTCACTGACCAGCTAATAAAGACTTTCTGTTAGCTTAAACCCATGCCCAAGCAGTCTTCCCTGGAGGATACCCCACAACATTTCTGGAGGTTCCACTGAGATCTCCAGAGACTAAACCTTGAGACACTGGGGAGGGAGTCTCAGAGCCCTTTGGCGCAGGGAAGAATATGTTGGTCTAGGGACTCCTAAGGGGTGCACAACCTGAGTTCCACATCCCTAAGATTCCCTTTGATCATTTGGTGTCTAATGCTTTGGAGGAGTCTGACACCTCCACCCCAAAATAAATTAGAAAGTTACTTGGTCTGTCACCTCCTGCCCACGTTGGGCACCAGATAAAGTTGCAATTAATGAGGCAATTCCACGTAGTTTATCTGGTAGTTAAAAGAGGTTTATTTCAGGATAACTTGCAACTAGTAAAGGGGCCAGTTACAGGATTCAGGAGAGGTGAGGTGCAGTCCAGCATGGTTCTCTGGAGAACTCTGACTTAGTCTGCAATCCAGCATCCAGGATCACAAGGAGCCAAGAGAGTGGGCACATATGCATCTCGGGTCTTAAGGGATCCCATCTTGGCCACACCTCAGGGGCAGGTCATAGGCAGGTGTGGGAGTTACCTGTTGCCTCACTGGGGCAGTGCTTCAAGGCCAAAGCTGGAACAGCTACCCACTACATATCTTTCTATGTGTTTCTGTCAGTTCTGTTTCCCTGTATCCAGTGGCTTTCTCTAGTGTAAGAAACTCCTCCATTCAACCTGCGTTAAGTCCTGTGCTCCCTCCTGTTGCGGACTCAAATCCTTTTGGCTCTGCCAAGTTGCCCAGAAAGGGAAAAAGGCTCTGCTTGCTCCATTTGCAGAGTGCTCACTAGTTTCATCACTTGACTCTTGCTCATAGTCAGGGTTGGTCCTGGTCCCCAGATGGAAGTGAAGAAGGGTCAGGCCTGTCATTCTGAGGGTACCCTGACATCTAAGCAGAATGCACACAGGGAGGGGGAAATAGATCCCTAAGATACACATACCCTCCTAAGAAGCCCCAAGGTGGGGTAACAGTACCCCTGGGCTGAGCCCAAAGGAAAAAAGAAAGTTTCACTCCTTCCTCTTTCATGTTTTATATCTCCATTTCAACCAGTAATTTGGATAATTGAAAAATTCAAAACCCATCATTCTCTGAAAAAAGAAAAAAAGAGAAACTATCCCCAGGCCAGGCAGGGGGATCACTGCCAGACAATGCAGCCTGGATGGAACAGATTTGTCTTCTGTCCAATACAGACCAAGGAGACAACTTTTGCTAGGTCCTTTTAAGAAGGATTAAAGACAACTGCTAAAAAGATTTCCTTTGTCACCCAGCTGGGCCCCAGATATTAAAACAGTTATAATGTTTAAAATTTTAAATGTGTATGTAGGTCCCAGTTGCCTGAGATAGCGTAAAGCGTGTTTAACAACAGAGAACTGATTGGGACAAGGCATTTTGCCTAACTGAAACCACTTCACATTCTGATGAAGAGCTGCAGTTAGACTTACAGATACCCAGCAAAATTTTGGTGACAACATTCCTTCTGTCAGACGAATATCTGTTGTGGCATATTCTTTTTGTACACTGTCAAGATGTGTCACTTGGATTGGTTTAATAAAAAGCTGAAGCAGGATTTTTGGGGCAGAGAGTAGGCTGAGAAGAAGAACAGAAGACACCAGGAGATGCAGAGCAAGCAGGACGGGCACTACAGAGATGAGGTAATAAAGCCATGGGGCAGAAAGTAAATGAATAGAAATGGGTTAATTTAAGTTTTAAGCACTAGTTAGAAACAAGCTTAATATATCAGCTGAGCTTTTTTTTTTTGGAGACAGAGTTTCTCTGTGTAGTTTTTTTGTGCCTGTCCTGGATCTCGCTCTGTAGACCCCGCTGGCCTTGAACTCACAGAGATCCGCCTGCCTCTGCCTCCCGAGTGCTGGGATTAAAGGTGTGTGCCATCACCGTCCGGCTCAGCCAAGCTTTCATATTTAATAATAAGTCTCGATGTAGTGATTTGGGAGCTGGCTGGTGGTACAGAGAAAGACTCGCTACAGGTTATCACGTAGCAGGAAGTTCTGCCTCCAATCAAAAGATACAGTTGGACTGTCTCTCAGATTGACAATTAAGATTGCTGGGGTGTGGGCAAAAACCAACTCCAGGACTGGCCCAATACCAAGTTCTTCTAATTGTTCAACTAACCAGTTCAGCTACCCGTCCAGATTACATAGTACCCAATGGCCCTGGACACAAAAGGGAAATTGCAGTCCATGTTGCCTGGCTTGAAGAGACAGGCATCCTGGTGCCCTGTCAGTCACCCTGGAATACACCTCTCCCACCTGTGAAAAGACCTGGGATCTCTGATTCTCATGAGTTTGATTCTTCCAGAGAAACAGGTGTACACTGTCTTGGACCTGAAAGATGCATTCTTCAGCCTCCCATTGGCAGAGGTGAGTCAACCCATCTTTGACTTTAAATGGACAGACCCAGAGGGAGGTTACTGTGGACAACATACCTTGACCAGGTTGTCCCAGGATTTAAAGACACAAAATGCAGACTTCCTGCACTTCTGTCAGAGGTTTCCTGGAAAACTAGATTATAAAAGGACCACTGAGGGACTGCTGCATGAGTTATAGACCTTGAATTACAGAATGTCAGCTAAGAAAGCCCAACTTTGTAGGCGGCTACCTATCTTGGCTACCAGCTGAAGGGAGACAAAAGGAGCCTGTCTCAGGGTAGGGTTGCTGCCATCCTCAGATCCCAACTCCAAAGACTAAGAGACAGGTTCCAGAGTTCCTAGGTGCAGCTGGATATTGCTGGCTCTGGGTACCAGAGTTTGTGGGAACAGCAAGGCCTCTCTCTATACACCAGCACAGAGGGAGACACTAAGCCCCTGATCTGGACTGAGACTAAACAAAGGCATTTGAGGCTTTAAAAGAAGCTCTGACTTCTGCACCAATCCTAGAATTTCCAGATGAATCAAAACTTTTGTATTGGTTTGCCCATGAAACGAAAGACATTACAAAAGGAATTTTAACCCAAACTTTGGGGCCATGGAAACGCCCTGTGATATACCTGTCCAAACAATTGGACCCTGTAGCCACCAGATGGCCCACCTGCCTAAGAGATGTGGCAGCTACTGCTAGTCTGATGAAAATGCAAGCAAACAAAAACAAGCTAACTCTGAGTCAAGATCCTATACACGCAGCACCCCATGCAATTGAGGCCCTCCTCTGAGGAGCACCAATGCTGTCTGTCTGTCTAATGACTGTGACGCAGTACCAGGCCCTACTCCTGGACCACCCTCGAGTCTGGTTTGAGAAACCCACCTCCACCAATCCTGTTGCCCTCTTGCCTGATGACAACCTTCAGGTGCTCATCACTAACTGTCATGAGGTGAAAGATGAAACGAGGTACATAGAGGCTGCAGCAGTTACTTTAACTGAATTGATTTGGGCCCAAGCCAGGTACCACAGTGCAAAGAGAATTGATTGATCTGACCCAGGCTTTCAGTTGGGGAAAAGGGAAGTCCACCACCATATACATGGACCAACACTATGCTTTTACTACCATGCATGTCCATATGATCTATAGAGAAGGAAGGTTTCTCACTGCTGGGAAAAAGAACACTAGAAAATCTTGGCCCTCCTAGAGGCTATTTGGCTTTCCCCAAATTGCTGTCCTCCATACCCGCCACTGACCTGGTTGTCCAGTAAACTACTGATATTCTGATGACATACCCCTGACTCCATGCTGCCTGAGACTCTATGTTAAAGAAAAAACAGACAGCTCAAACCCACACACAGGATGATGGATGACACCAGAGGGAAAGATCATTCTCTCAGAAACAAGTGACAGGACTCTGGTAACTGACCTTCACCAGGCTACTCATCTGGAGTCCACAAAACTTTGTGAGTTGATCAGACCAAGGTATGTTATACCTAGATCGGACAAGCTATTGTGGGACGTCTCAGCCAGATGCCAGGTTTGTGCTCAAGTGAATCCAAACCAGAGACGTTACCCAGGAAGGGGTACAAATGAGAGACTAACACCCTGGTGAACTCTGGGAAAACTGACTTCAACCAAGACCTGGCCCTCCCGTACTACACATGATAGGAACTAACCAGACTGTCAGCCCATTGACTGACAAAACTCATCATGACTGGGGGCAGCCCAAATTAATGTGAGAGGACTTACAAGGGGATGAAACTTGTCTAATCTCCAAAACCTTTAACACAGGCACTTCCCCTTATTCCAGTGTCTGCTATTCTGACTTACAGATTAATTCATCTGGACAACAGCAGTATCACCGAGCCCCTGAGACTACTTGGTGGCATATACTAATGGTTTGACTAAATGTGCCTCTTCTGATACTTTCTAAACTAAGCAGACAGGTTGATGATCATACATAGAAATATTAAAAGTTATCATTTCTAAACTAACAATTAGATTTAATTACAGAATGGCCCTACAAATAAGAGAGGTTTAAACGTACTTCTCATGAGAGAAGGGGGACTATACATGGCTTTGGGGAAAACCTGTTGTTTCTATGCCAATCAATCAGGAGTAATTAGAAAAATCTTGCCATGGTTGGAAAAAACTAAAAAAGACATTGCCTTAGTTAGGGTTTCTTTCTATTACTGTGAAGAGACACTATGATGACACCAACTCTTATAAATGAAAACATTTAACTGAGGCTACCTTACAGTTCAGAGGTTTAGCCTATTATCATCATAGTGGGCGGCATGCAGGCAGACACGATGCTGGAGAAGCTGAGAGTTCTACATCTTGATTGGCTCGCAAGAGGAAGTGAATTGTAATACTGGGTGTAGCTTAATTAAGCATAGGAGACCTCAAAGCCCACTCCCACTCTCACAAAGACACACATCCTCATACAAGGCCACACCTCCTAATAGTGCCATTCCCTTTGGGGGCCATCTTTCAAACTACCACAGAAATTAATTATGTAATTGGTACCAGTCTGTATTCTCTTGGTCCCCTGACTAACTACTCTGCTATCAGCACTGGCAAGGCCTTTAATTCTCATTCTGATTGGATTAAAAGTGGGTCCTGCATCTTAAACTATATGGCCAATTATATATTAAATAAAATTAATTGCTCTTAGTACCAACTCCACCTCTTCAGAGCAGGATGAGTCCACAATTTGACTCATTCACTAAGACCAGTAGGGAATGTAACAGGGCCCCAGACCTTGATAAGCAACCCCCCCCACCAACCTTAGCACAACTGACTCCATGATAAAAGTGACATTTAGGCTGTAACACTCAACACATAGACAGCACCACCTGCCAAAACTAAAACAAAGACCTAATCCATCAAAGTCCATAGTTCTGGGAAAGTCTCTAAATATACTAACCTTGCTTTTTAGCTTCTGTGGTTCTGCTTCTGGCTAGCTGTTCTTATTACCTGAAGTATGTCAATCCAGGACATGGCCTTTCTGCTTAAAATTTCACCCTGAGATAGGGTTGGGGTTGGGATCCCAAACACTCTATGTAGTCGCAGGCTGGCTAAGAGATTTTCTATTGGCTTAAACCCACGTCCAAGCAGTCTTCTCTGATGGCTACCCCCAACAAAGACCAGCTAAGACATTTATTCTAGAACTTTCTACCAGGAGACAGCCATTATTGGAATAATCAGACCATAGGTTGTAAACCACTATAAGAAATCACATACACAATGAATATATGTGTGTGTATACATACACACACACACACACACACACACACACACACACACATATTAGTTCTGTTATTCTAGAGAACCCTGACTAATACAGGCCACTTGGGCTACACAGCCAGATCTCCATCTCAAAACAAAAAAGAGAATTAATAAGCATTAGCATAAATAGTAATTCATCTTAATCATGTAATATAATTTGGAGCTTTAATTTCCAGGCTAATTGGTGTTTTAGGTTGAACACAACTATCTATTCAATGTGTGACAAACCTTGAAATTACCCAGGTACAAGAGGTCTACATAAGAAAGTGTCACATTTCATTCCTAATGAATTTGTATTTTCCAGATCTTGGGTTTTAGAGACTTAGAGGGCATCAAGTTCAATATAATTGGGGGAGGGGGAACAGACTGGGAATTGTTCTCAAGTGTGCCTAACCTAATATGTATTTATTTATTTGAGATAGAATCTCACTCTCCAGCCCTGGGTGACATGGAACTCACCACATAGACCAGGCTGGCCTTGAACCTACACCTGCTTCTCTGCCTTGTGAGTGCTGGGATTAAAGGTGTGTACCACTATGCCCTACCTAACCTGATACTTAATATAAGTCAGATATAATTCATCTTCTTTATAACAGGCCCCCAGACTTTAGCAAAACTGACTCAGCACATAGACAGCACCACTTGCCAAACTAAAACAAAGACCTAATCCATCAAAGTCTATAGTTCTGGGAAAGTCTCTAAATGTACTAACCTTGCTTTTTAGCTTCTGTGGTTCTGTTTCTGGCTAACTGTTCTTGTTAACTGAAGTATGTCAACCTAGAACATGGTTTTTGTGCTTTAAAGCTCCCCCTGAAAAAGGTTTGGGGTGCACTGGGATCCTGAACCTCAGTGTAGTCACAGACCAGATAATAGACTTTCTATTGACTTAAACTCATGTCCGAGCAGCTTCTCTGGTGGATACCCCACAACATTCTTAAAGGCTGGTTTTTCTTCTAGACGCTAACTGTCATTTTGGCTTTCCACACACAGAATTTTAAACTGGTGCTTATTGCACATCCCATATGCACTTAATAGGTATCTCGGAGGATGGGGCTCAGACATCACTTTCCCACGATGCCCTATGGGAGATTTTGATAGATCAAAGCACTCTCTCCATTTATATTGTCATTATTTTTGACATTGTCTGATTTTATATTATATTCGCTATCATGGAAGTATACATCAATTATCATATGTTTTATAAAGAAAAATTAATTTTAAAGTTTTTTTCTATATAAATGTTATTCTAAAGTAATCCCTCCATTACTGAAATGTAGAAAAGCATCATTTCATTGTATCATTGTTCACTGCCAGTATTTTTATCCCAGAGTTCTCCCTTTTTTACTTGATATGAGAGAAGAGGAAGAAAAGGGGCCTCACAGAGGAGATGGATCCGTGATCTGTTGTCTTAGTAACAGCTCTGCTTCCCAGCTCTTGTGAGTGATTCAGCCCAGGCAGGGACATTGTGTTTGGCATCCAGGAGCAGGTAATAGCCTACCTTCCTCTTTGTTGTTCAGTGCTAAGAGGCTGAAACAAAAAGATAATGAATGTTGCCAGGGAAACCAAAGCAGAATCTATCAAGGCCATGAGGAAGAAATGTCAAGTATAATACAAAATGGATGGTAGGTCCATTTTCATCCTCCTACAATCATAGATTGAGACTCTTCTGTGTTCATTTGAAGGGTTTTGTTGTGAACATACAAGTGATTCTTTCTGTACACATAACCACAAGGACATAATGAAGGTCAGAAAGAGAGACACAGGAAAAGCAGAGAAACCAGACAGTAAATGGGAGAAATATAAATTTAAAAAGATCATGTATTTCCTTTTAAGACTCATTTTGACATCCATGTCCTACTTTAATCCACATTTATATAGGATTATCAAGCAAGCCTTACCTGAAAGAAAATACAGCTTCTTTCCTTTTTGTTTATTAATAATTCACATTGGGACGTAGCTGAGCCCCAGGAACCTACGATGCTTTTCGGTAGCTCTGCCTTTATTGCATAGCAAAGTGGCACCTCCTGTAAGGAATACAGGCCAGCACCAGTTTAAAATTCTGTGTGGAAAGCAAAATGGCAGCTACCACACAGGCACACACAGTAAAAAAATAAAATAAAACATAAGGAGGGCCGAGGATCTAGCTTAGTGGGAGAGTGCTGCACAAGGTACTGGGTTCAATCCCAAATATTCCCCCTCAAAGGTCTCAGCATGGTACAAACATGCATACAGACTAATGCAGCATTATAAAAAATCATAGAAATAAATCTGCACATCCTAGATGCCAAGAACGGATTAGAAAGGGAGAGTCTCTACCATAAATTGGGAAAGCATGCAGAAGAATGAAACTAAAGTATCTTCCTACCCCATATACAAAACCCAATTCAAATCGATTAAAGACTCATACTTAGGATACGGAACTAATAGAAGAAAACCTATAGAAAAGCCTTTGGACATTGGGTTTGGCAGATTCTTTTGATGCGCCCCCCCAAGTCACTGGCAACAGAAGCAAAACTATACAAACTGAATTGCACCAAACCAAAGAGTTTCTAAATGATGAACAATCAACACAGTGCGAGAACAGTCCACACTACCAGAGAACATGGGGCAGAGCAAAGCTGCTCACATCCTAGCATCCAGGAGTAGGGGTGGGTGGCAGGGGCAGGGCAGGGGCAGTGAAGAAGGGTATCCCTCAAAACCCTACTTCCTCCAAATATGCCCATCTCCTAATAATACCATCATACTATAAAACCAGCAGTTATTTATTGACTAGGTTAGAACATTCAGTACCTGATCACTGCCCCAGAGTCCATCAGAAATGTTCTTAGGGAACATCTGTCATATACCATATACCGCATACAGCATCAATATCTTAAATATGTAAGGGATTTAGACAACTCAATAGTGATAAAAGAACCTGATTAAAAGTGAGCAGAGGGGCCTGAGGGCGCATTAATAGCTCAGTGATAGCTCATGTACTTAGCATGTGGGTGAAGCCTAGGTTCAATCCCCAGTGCAGAAAAAAATGGAAGCAATGGATTTGAATCAATATTTTCCCGGAGAAGACTGTTAGGGCTGAACGTGAAATATAGCCTACAGACTCACGTGTTTGCACACTGAATCTGCAGCTGGTGCTCATACTTGGGTTGTGGAACCTTTAGAAGGCAGAGCCTGGCTGGAGGAAGTGGTTCACTGGGGATCGGGTCTTGAGGGTTATAAGCCCAGCCCTATGCATCTCTCTGTCTCTGTCTGTCTGTCTGTCTGTCTCTCTCCTGTCCCCCTTCCTTCCTGGTGCACTGGGCTGCAGGCACACCACCACTCCGGCGGTCATGTCTTCCACTACATCCTCAAACTGTGAGCCAAAGCGGATAGATGCCTCGTCATCTTCTCAGGGATTTGCTGACAGTGATGAGAAAAGTAAAACGAAGACCTCCACATTGTCAACGTGTACGAAGATGTGCTGAACATCATCAATCATGAGGGGGAAAGGCAAATTCAAGCCACCATGACACGGAGATTCATATTTGTTAGAAAGGCCATGGTCAAAAAGACAGAACAAGTGTTGAGGAGGATTAGAAAAAGTGAACTCTTGCACAGCGGTCCTGGGAATGTCAATTAGCAGAGCCATTATGGAAAACAGTGTGGGGCTTCCTCAAAAGTTTTGAAGTAGCTGGACGCCAATAGTCCGGGCCTGTCATCCTAAATACTCAGAGGCTAAGGCAGAAAGATCACAAGTTCAAGGCCAGCCTGGATAATTTAGTGAGACACTGTCTCAAAAACAACAAAATGGTCTGAGGACATAGCTCCAGGTTGAACACTTGCCTAACATGCCTTGAGTTCAATGCATATATCTATATCTATACCTATATCTATACATATATCTCCATTTAGAAGTATGCTATAAGGGGAATGTCCCTGAGCGCTATGTCTTATCATGAGCCAAACTAAATCCCTCTTAGAACTGTTTCTGTCGGGTATTTCTCAGTGATGAAAAGTCTAACGTACATCTGTTGTGTGCTATTTTGTTACAGCATCCTTAGCAGGAATATACTAACTACACCAGTATCCTAGATTTTCATCCGGATTAACTTCTGAATCCTATAGGCATTCAATAACCACCCCCAGTGATGAAAGGGTTGAATGAAGAAGTGAGCCTGCTACTGCTGGGTCCAGGTCTGTTAATTTACATATGTGTTTCATGTCGTGCATAAGCACATCTCTTTCAACAACAGACCACATATGTGATGGTAGTTCCATAAGAGTACAACATCTGGTAATGTCATAGTCTACTCTCAGGTGTTTCCATAGTGATGAAATCACCAAACAGCACACTTTTCAAAACATATTCCTATTGTTAACCATCACTATATAATGGTCTTTTTGATAAAGGACTGAGATATGTGAAGGCCTCCCTAGTGTTTTAGGTAAACCTTGTAAAAAGTATCGATAAAATGTTTTAAGATTAACACTCCAGGTCTTATTACAAGAGGCAAGTGGAGGAACTGGACGGGCAGACACAAGGTATGGTTTCAAAGCACACACTTCAGAGATGGGAAGACCTGGGCTGGGCTCCTATTTTCAGGTGGTACCTCGTCTGCAAATTGAGGAAGGTAAATGTCTAAATTAGACAATTAGTAGGGAAATTACTGCATAGTAATTGACCTTGACCCATGAAAATCAATTTCCCTACCAGAATTTCCCCCAAACTACAAAGGGCTTTGGTAACTAAAAGTATCCGAGAGGTCTTAGCATCAGTAGCAATTCTGTTCACCTTGCCATTCACAAGAAGTTAGCCTCAGACAAGCAATTAATTTTCTTTGTAAGAGCCAACTTAGTTAAGATACCCAACTTATTTATATATTTATATATATACCTGATTATAATATTCACAAAAAATTCTAGCAAAGCTAGTGGTACACAATACATTCTCATCACTATAAGCTTATCCTCTTCATACAGGCATGCACGCACCTGCACGCACACCTACTCAAATCTAAGCTTTTTGTTTACTAGGGCAAGTCTCCCAATCTTAGAAGACACTGTAGTCAGATATGAACAGACCTTGTTTGCCTAAAACTTTAAAGCAGGCTTCACATTAACTTTTAAATTCCCTGGGAATCACAATATTAGAACACATTTGAATTTTCTGACGTCATTTCAGAGTATGCAAAGGATGGCTTGACAAAATTGAACATTGTTTCTCTTACAGAAACAATGTTTATATCTGTTTATATCAGAAAGTAGTTGCCATATATTATTTTCCCATCAGAAGAATTGTAAGACCCTGGATGAATACCTCTTTTTGGTCTTTCATAATAAAAACTATAAACAGAGGTATTCAACCACGACGAAAAACAGATACAAGTCTAAAGCTCTGTATATAACATTCAAATGGGGGGAGAAAAAAACCAGCTTTAATGGCCTTCAGCAGTCCAAGGCTGCAGTAACTATTTGTTCCACTAGGGGCAGCAGTGTATAAGGAATGGCAAAGTAAGCATTTCAATTATGTTTGCATAGAACTCTGCTAGCTGACCTATTAATTAGACATATGAAAGATCGATAATTTGGTTTTATTTCATTTTAAGAGGAATTTTTTGGGAAATGTTTTGGTGCCGGGATTCATATCTTTGTTGTTTTTAAAGCTAAAAGAAATAATTCTCCCTCCCTTAGCTCCTTCCCCTCTAGCTGACTCCATGATGAGACAGGCTTATTAGGATTTCATCAGACTCAGGCGTGGGACACAATGAGAGAGAAATAGTGTGGGGCCAGAAGAAAGAATAGAAGGCACCAGGAGTAGAATTCAAGACCTTTCTGAAGAGTCCCAACTAACCCCGAAGGAAAATCTGGTTTTTTCGTTTATGTATTTGTGACTGTGTCTGTGTGTGCGTGCGCGCTTACTCGTGAAAAATAATTGTAAGGATTAATGGATGTCTAGATGCTTAATGCCCATCCTCCACAAGAGCTTGCATTCTGAATAGCAATTTTTTCTTTATCTCAAAGTTAACCAATCAAACACACTCAGCTTCAGTTTCCTTGGTAACCGACCTCTGCTTCCTGTCTAGACTTCTGGTCATAAGAGAGAAAAGGAAAAACACAGGACTATAGCAAGCAGGCTAGAAAATGTCATCTCTTCTACCCCCGCCCCCCACTTCTTACTGCAGTCTATTTCTCTGCCTTTGTCATCTCCCCCACCCCCACCACCAAAAAAACATCAGCAAAGCCTGTTGGTGAGGTCCAGTGAGATGACATCCACCTGTATGTATCTTTGCCTTTATCTCTGCATCAGTTTGGTCCTAGCTAGTCAAATCCTCAGCAAAACAGATGTCTTTCTTTGTACTCTCTTTATTTCTGGAATATATTATTCTCATGATTAGTCACAAGCATGATCCTCCACCTTTTTTTTCTCTCCTGCCTCTTCCCTTTCTGTCTTAATAAGAAACATGAGCCATAGAAGAGACAGAGGCAGCTACTACTCATGGGATCCCTGGGTGGTGGCTTTCTAAAACCCATGCTTTGGGGACTCCCACTACTCCATCCTCATTGAACTCTGAAGGGTACACACACATGCACCGTGTCTAATAAATCTGAGTAAGATTGTCTGCGAAATTTCCCCCTTCCATGTTAACATATCCACCGATAATGCCATTGTTCTGGTTATGTGGTCATTTCTAGGAGAGGTTACAGCAGACTTAGTAGGATCCTGGCTCTTAACATCTTTACAGCCCCTCTTCCTTGACGTTCCCTGAGTCATAAATGCAGGAGCTGTGATACAGATCTATCCACTGGGCCTGGGTTTCCCACAATCCACTGATCTCTGCACTGTGTCCAGTTGTGGTTTGCTGTGATGGTCTCCATTTGCTGTAGAGAGAGGCTTCTTTGATGAGGCTACACTTATCTGTGGATGTAAGGGTAGTAAGATTTACAATGTAGAAGGAATTATGCTGGTCTAGCAAAGTGGTGGTAGTGGATTCTTTTCTAAGGTTCATGATCTCATTAGCTTGGAGAAGCAGGGTAGGTTTCCAGT